TTTTCCAGCGAGCTGGCCGAGAGCGCATGCGAGGAGAAGCCCAACTTCAACTTCAGCCAGCCCTACCCAGAGGAGGAGGTCGACGAGGGCTTCGAAGCCGACGACGACGCCTTCAAGGACTCCCCCAACCCCAGCGAGCACGGCCACTCAGACCAGCGAACGAGTGGCATCCGGACCAGCGACGACTCTTCGGAGGAGGACCCCTACATGAACGACACGGTGGTGCCCACCAGCCCCAGCGCGGACAGCACAGTGCTGCTCACCCCGTCAGTGCAGGACTCCGGGAGCCTGCACAACTCCTCCAGCGGCGAGTCCACCTACTGCATGCCCCAGAATGCCGGGGACCTCCCCTCCCCAGACGGCGACTATGACTACGACCAGGATGACTATGAGGATGGTGCCATCACTTCCGGCAGCAGCGTGACCTTCTCCAACTCCTACGGCAGCCAGTGGTCCCCCGACTACCGCTGCTCTATGGGGACCTACAACAGCTCGGGTGCCTACCGGTTCAGCTCTGAGGGGGCACAGTCCTCAGTGAGTACCTACCTGGCATGTTCCAGTGAAATGGGTGGCCGGGAACAATGGGATCACTGGGACACAGGAAGGGGAGCATCACACAACGGGTCCTATTGTGGGGAGAGGGTAGGGGGAAGGGATAGCATTAGGAGATATACCTAATGTAAATGACGAGTTAATGAGTGCAGCACACCAACATGGCACATGTATAGATAGGTAACAAACCTGCACGTTGTGCACATGTACCCTAGAACTTAAATAAAAAATAAAAATAAAAAATGAAATGGGTGGCCGGTCACACCCACCCCTGTGGCATCCTCAAGTTGAATGAAGATACCCATAGGATATCTGTGCAAAGATTGCAGAGTCGTGGTCTTAGAGATCATCTTAAACCTTTTTCTTATTCCATAAGCCAACTGCATTTGTAAGTGGAATTGTGATGTGCCTGTTTCAGGTTTCGCACAAAGCCCCAGAGCTGAACTGTGGGCCCAAGACCTGGGAAAACTGGCTATTTATTTATTTATTTGTGGTGTTATTGTTGTTGTTTTTGAGGTGGAGTCTTGCTCTGTTGCCCAGGCTGGAGTGCATTGGCACAATCTCGGCTCACTGCAATCCCCCCTTCCTGGGTTCAAGCTATTCTCCTGTCTCAGTCTCCTGAGTAGCTGGGATTACAGGTGCCCGCCAGCACACCCAGCTAATGTTTGTATTTTTAGTAGAGATGGGCTTTTACCATGTTGGCCAGGCTGATCTTGAACTCCTGACCTCAGGTGATCCACCTGCCTCGGACCCCCAAAGTGCTGGGATTACAGGCGTGAGGCACCATGCCCGGTCGGAAACTGTCTTTTTAAATGGAACTTCTGTTTATTTTATTTTATTTCTTCCTTCCCTTTTTTTACAATTTGAATGGAACTTTTTTAGCTTTGCCATGCTGAGTTAGGAAATCAGACACAACCTAAACTGGAACAAGACTTGCCGGGGATGAACTGGCAAACTTTCCTTCCAGTAACTTCACAATCCAAACCACACGGTGTTACTTCTTATAGCGGGTGTAAAGGAAGAAGCTGCAGGGCTTAAATGTACTCTTTCCAGTTTCTGCATTTATCTGTAGTTTACTTTTATTTTGTCGCTTTGGTCATGCATTGAATGTTCTCTTGACTTTCAAAGATTTGAAAATGTATTTAACATAGTGATTCAAAAGGGGTTAACTTTTGCATGGTTTGATTCAAATTATAGCCTTAAAAAGCATTGTTAATTTTAGGGCAGATAGCCTTTGGATTCAAGTATATCTTGTCTTTCACGTATCAATTCAACTGACCATTTGACCTTAAAAGTTGATATTTTTAATTCTGAATTATTTGTGTGCTACCGTAAATCAGGCGTATTGCTTGTCAGTTATTTTTTCTTCATTCTTTTTTCTTCTTTTTTTTGAGACGGAGTCTCGCTCTGTCACCCAGGCTGGAGTGCAGTGGCGCGATCTCGGCTCACTGCAGTCACTGCCTCCTGGTTTCGAGTGATTCTCCTGCCTCTCGAGTAGCTGTATTTTTTTATTTTTTTCAATGATGATCCATGCTGGGTGTTTTAGTGGCTTGCTTTGTGGCCTTTTCCCTCACCACTGGCTTCTCTCTCTCTCGGTCCAGTTTGAAGACAGTGAAGAGGACTTTGACTCCAGGTTTGATACAGACGATGAGCTGTCGTACCGGCGTGACTCTGTGTACAGCTGTGTCACTCTGCCATATTTCCACAGCTTTCTGTACATGAAAGGTATGACTGCAGCTGCCATGGAGTCTGGGTTAGCGGGAGAGCGAGGTGCTATTTTATCCGGGCTGATGGATGGGGATGGTAAATAACGGTGGTGTTATTGTATCTGGGCTGATGGATGGGGACTGGGAAAGTCATTCTACCTACCCTTACGTTGGTGTTGGGCCACCTAGATGAATGCAGGGACGCCTTGTCATGTTGGTGTGACGTGGGTGATGTGGTCCTACCTGCGTGAACACAGTCGTGACTCCCCTGGTTTGGTGCAGAGTGGCAGCACAAAGCATTTGCAACCACTGCCTCCATTATCAGTCCTTCTCCCCTCTGTCTCTCCCCGTCTCTTTTTCCTTTCTTAGCTCTTTGTTCATTCTTCTATTTTCCCTCCCTCTCTCCCCAACTTTCTCTTTCACTGTCTTCCTCTGTCTCAGTCTCATTGCTCTCTCTCTCACATATACAGACATACAAACCAATGTGTGTGTTGCTGCTGCTGCTGCTGGAATTGGTGGAGACCCATTCTAATGATAAACTGCATGTTCTCTCCTGCCAGGGATATTAGAGAGCCTAGAAGGATGTGCTATACATGGGGGCATGGGGGAAAGTGAAGAGCTCACTGAGGGCCACAGCTCGCTTGAATTGCTCACCATACGTACTTCATGATGAGCATTTGCATTGTATGCTTTGATTGTTATTAACCTTTGAATTTACTTTGCAGAACCTTAACACTTAGGGGCCTTGAGGTGCACTCCTTTTGGAAAATTATTTAGTATTTATTTATTTATTTATTTAAGACTGGGTCTTGCTCTGTTACCCAAGCTAGAGGGCCCTGGTGTGGTCACGGCTTACTGCAGCCTCAAACTCAGGCTCAAGCCATCTTCCCACCTCAACCTTCATAGAAGCTAGGACTGCAGGCGCACACCATCATGCCAGGCTAATTTTTTCTAGAGGTGGAATCTCACTATGTTGCCCAGGCTGGTCTCCAACTCTTGACCTCAAGCAATCCTCCCACCTTGGCCTCCCAAAGTGCAGGAATTGTAGGCATGAGCCACCATGCCTGGCCAGAAAATTATTTAATTGGGACCTTGTGTTTATGCTTTATTCCTGTTCTTGACTGTGACTTGGAACTCAGTGACGGGGATAATAAGAAATCATAATCATCACCAGTTTTTGGCAGGAGTTTTACATGGATGGTTAAAAAGAAGGGACCGTCCTGTTTCTCGCATGGACCTAGACTGGAGAGGGGAGAGAGTTGAGAACGTGGGGATGGGCAGGGATATGAGAACCTTCCTCCCTAGGTCTCCTCTTCCTGCTTTCTCCCATCTTTGATTTTTAAATTTGTCTTCTCCCTCCCTTTTCTTCACTTTCCTTTTTACTGCCGTCTTTCTTCATTTACGTTTACGTTTTCTTTTTTTCGTCTTCCCCACCATGAAAACCATTTTTTTTTTTTTTAGACAGGATCTTGCTCTGTTGCCCAGGCTGGAGTGCAATGGCACTGCACTCGTGGGTTCAAGTGATTCTCCTGCCTCAGCCTCCTGAGTAGCTGGGATTACAGGCATGCACCAACGGCCGGCTAATTTTTGTATTTTTAGTAGAGACGGGGTTTCACCATGTCGGCCAGGCTGGTCTCGAACTCCTGACCTTGTGATCTGCCCACCTCAGCCTCCCACAGTGCTGGGATTACCGGAGTGAGCCACTATGCCCAGCCATGAAAACTCTTTTATTCCGTTTTCCCTTCTTTCTTCCTGTGCTTCTCTATTAGCTTCTTTACCTTTTCTTCCATGTCTTTTTCTTTTGTTGTCTTTAATATTTTTTTTTCTGTTTTCTTCACTTGCAGCTTTGTTGGATTCCTTTTTTGCTTCACCTGCTCCTTTTAGAAAACATGGGTCTAGTGACAACTGTCAGTCATTTGCCTTTCGGAGTTCTGCCGTCTTCAGCTTTGGAGCCTCACAGTGCTCATGAAACCCCCAGAAGGTTTGATTAGGGGAGACTTTTCTGTTGTCCAGAATCACTGGTTGATGTGGACTTCAGTAGGACTGTTGGAATGAAAAACGGAGAGGATGATGTAGCCAGCACTGGAACATCTGACAAAGCAAAAAATGTCATCGCAAATCAGAACCTAATGATCCAACAAGTATTTAATCATAGCATCTTAAGATTTTCTCAGTTAGAAATCATCTTAACTGTTTTTTACTAACATATAATTCCCATTCCTCAGTTTTTAATTCCCTAAGTTAATTTGAAAATTCTCTTCAATATTCCTCTTATTTTTAATTTGTGGCATTGATTTTTTTTTTTTTTTTTTTAGACAGAGTCTCGCTCTGTTGCCCAGGTTGGAGTGCAGTGGTGTGATCTTGGCTCCCCACAACCGCCGCCTCCCAGTTTCAAGCCATTCTTCTGGCTCAGCCTCCTGGGTAACTGGGATTACAGGCACGCACCACCACGCCTGACTAATTTTGTATTTTGAGTAGAGACAGGGTTTCACCATGTTGGCCAGGCTGGTCTTGAACTCTTAGCCTTGTGATCCACTCACCTCAGCCTCCCAAAGAGCTGGGATTATAGGCGTGAGACACCACCCCTGGCAACATTGATTTATTATACAGTTACTGGATTAAAACCAGTAAGAGTAGGAAAAAAGTAAAGACACATTCAAAGTATTAAAATCAGGGTCAAAGAAGTTAAGTGGGTGAGTTTTCAGCATCTCTTAATAAAGCTACTGTGTAAATGCAGCATCATTTAATATTTAATAAAACTTTTAATTAAAACAGAGCCAAAAAGTTTCAGAGCAACCAATGAATGAGAAAATCTAATCACCAGTTTATATTTTATGGGCATACATGAGTTTTCACAACCAAATAACCCACTAAAGGTGTTTGCAATTGGGAAATTATAGCATTAAAGTAGATTATCTAAATGATGCATTTTCAAGAGACGGCCTGGAATTGCAAAGGGAGGGCCAAGAGTGAGTGCTATCGATAACAGAACGACAGATTAAATAAACTAATGGTGAGGGCTGTTGTGATGACTGTTTTAATCTTCGAAACAACTGTGAATAAGCTTTATCATTTAACAACAACAAGATCATAGAATAACTTTACACAGTTTTCCTCTGGACGTGTTTTGAGAAACGCAGATTAAAGTCACAAATCAAAACACTAATAATGTTTCTTTCTGGTAGCCCTTGGCAAGTTTACCGTATGTTAGGACACAGCTCTGCAGCTTGGCACAATTACCAAAGATGTCTCAGCTAAATGAGCAGGGACCTCTTGGACAAAAGGAGGGAGAGGAGTCTAGAAAGTTCAGTGAAGCAAGTGCACTGTCTGGTTTTCACACACTGAACGCATAAGAGAAAAACACTTCGTTTATACTTACTTTAAATATCCCATGTTTAAATGTCCCTTATTTCATTACTGGTTGGTCGAAAGAAAATAATGTGTGGACAGTCTTATAATAACAGATGCGTGTAAGATGTTGATCTTGAGCAGGCTGGGGAATCTGGAATACAAAATTATCCTCCCAGAAGAGCATAGAAAGATTTTTTTTTATCCCATGAAAAGTAACATCTGTATATTTAAGTTCAAATCTTAGTGTAGTTTGTACTCTTGCTTTTTCTTTTTTCATAGTCTCAGTCTTATACCTGTAAAACATTCTCAGATGATGCTTTTCTTTGAAAAGATGTTTTTCTCCGAAAAGCCATATTGTCTTTACTTGTGTAAGTTAGACTTCATCGGTCAACCCTGGAATCACTGATAATTCTTGTTCACACATTGACCAAATATGGAAGGAAATGGGTGAACTTTGTTTATTATTTGAGATGGAGTTTCGCTCTGTCACCCAGGCTGGAGTCTAGTGGCGCAATCTCGGCTCACTGCAACCTCCTCCTCCTGGGTTCAAGCAGTTGTCCTGCCTCAGCCTCCCAAGTAGCTGGGATTACAGGCACGCACCACCACTCCCGGCTAATTTTTCTATTTTTAGTAGAGACGGGGTTTTACCATGTTGGCCAGGCTGGTCTCGAACTCCTCACCTCAAGTGATCCACCCTCCTCGGTCTCCCAAAGTGCTGGGATTACAGGCATGAGCCATTGCTCCTGGCCCAAAAAACGGGTAAAGAAACTGGTAAACTTTGACACCATGTTAAAATAATTTTCCCTCTCTGGGACATTTGGAGATAAGCCTGATCCTTACGTAGGGACATGGTTCTCACCCTTGGCTTTTGATTTATTCCTGGGTTACAGTGTTAGTTCATTACTTGCTTTTCTATTGGCTCCTTACGAAGCTTTCTCAGCTAAGTGAGCAGGAACTCCTTTGGATATAAGGATTCTTGTGTAATCCAGCCCGGCTGGTGTGACATCTGTGTAGTGCCCCTAGACATGAGCTAGCAGCGCCTCTCCCCACTGAGGGGTCTCTGGAGTGCTACAGCTGGGGCCGAGTCTAAGCTTGGCTAGACCTTAACACCTGCTGTACATGTTGTTGTCATCCAATTGGACTGACTGTTCTTTCACCCCTCTCTACCCAATCTTGGGGGGAACAGGTGGCCTGATGAACTCTTGGAAACGCCGCTGGTGTGTCCTCAAGGATGAAACCTTCTTGTGGTTCCGCTCCAAGCAGGAGGCCCTCAAGCAAGGCTGGCTTCACAAAAAAGGCGGGGGCTCCTCCACACTGTCCAGGAGAAATTGGAAGAAGCGCTGGTTTGTCCTCCGCCAGTCCAAGCTGATGTACTTTGAAAACGACAGCGAAGAGAAGCTCAAGGGCACCGTCGAAGTGCGAACGGCGAAGTAGGTTGCTAAGCCTGGCTGTGGCCCGATGGGTTGCTCAGTGCTTTATGCTGGTGGTCACAGAGCCACGCCGTGCAAGTTCCTTGCAGTGGCAGTAGCCTGTAGTAGGTGTCCTGATAATTCAGTTCAGTGGGTTAAATTATTAGGAGACTGGGAAGCAAGACTTAATCCGTGAGTACTTTGCTTTTTATGATTACACTCAGACACGTGGCTGTCATTTGGAAGATGGCCAGCCAGTTGGACCTGGAAGTTGCCCAGTGGAAATGGAATTGTATGTGTGGAGGAAGAATGGTGTGAATTTGGAACAAGTGGCTGAGTCTTTTTATGGGTTAATGTATCACTTTCCATTCCTTACTCCAGCTGTAGCCAGCAGATAAATTAGCTAAATTAAAAGCAGACAGACTGGAGTTTTCTGAAATGAATCACTTGTCTTCTGTTATACCAGTGTTGGTTATACTAGCCATCCCCATTCCCAGCAATGAGAGGAACAGGGCTGGTCTTCAAATCCAACATGCCCCTTTTTCTGCCACACCCTTATAGAACCAAAGCTTTGGACTGTTGAGGGCCTATTATTTTTCTTAAAGACTAAGTCATGTTTCCAGAAAATTGTTAGGAGTTACAGGCAGCTGCTTTTCTGGGGTAACTGGATACTAAGCCTGAAAACATGTTTGGGGATAACCTGTAGTCGTTCTCCACTCAAAACCAAGTGACCTCAAATACTTGGAAAAGTAGTTAAATAATCTTTGAGGGATCAAATTAATGCCTGAAGCCAGGAGCCTTTAAAGTAAAATGTTTCTAATCAGCCAGCATCAGCAACTTCAGAAAAGTATTTATTGTGAAGTGGAAAGTTAAATGAAGAGAGGGAAGTCTTTTATGTATTTGATTGTAAGAGAAATCTCATGTCTCTGCAGACGGCAGAATATTGGACATTTTCAGGCTGTCCCTTTGGAGCTCATGAGGTGCAGGAGTGGGCTTGTGAGAATCCTGGGTCTGAATCCTGCAAGTGTTCACAGCAAGGCATGGTTCTGTTGCCTCTGCCATCTACTCTCAGCCTCACATACCATGTTCCTCATCTGTCTATAGATGGCTTGATTGATTGATGGACTGACAGGGTCTCACTCCCACTGCCCAGGCTGGAGTGCAGTGACACGATCTTGGCTCACTGCAGCCTCAACTTCCTGGGCTCAGGTGATCCTCCCACCTCAGCCTCCCGAGTAATTGGGACTATAGGTGTGTGCCACCACGCCAGGCTAGTTTTTTGTATTATTAGTAGAGATGGGGTTTTGCCATGTTGCCCAGGCTGGTCTCAAACTCATGGGTTCAAAGCCATCCGCCTGCCTTGGTCTCCCAAGTGCTGGGATTACAGCCATGATGTTTCCATTTAATTATCCCGTAGAAGGGGCCGCAAGCACCAAGAAGCTTGTGGGAGGCAGAGTATTGAATTTCACCAGAGTACACTGATGTATGTTTCTTTTGCAACTCACTTTGTATGCTGCTTAATAAAAGCTCTATTCACAGGTGCTTCATCAGAATTATACTGAGTTATGGAAATGTTAGCTCTTATTCAGCCATTTCTGTCACCTCCTATAGAACAGGAACAGTGAGTTATTATTATGGAAAACTTCAATCATGGGCAAGAGTGGGTAGAAGAGCATAACAAAACACGGACTTATTCCAGAGCTTTTGGTGGCTATCCACCCATGGCCAAGTGTTTCATCCACAGTTCTATCCAGTCTGCTCCCCCAACAAACTACCTTCTTTTACAGCAAGTCAGTATCATGTAATTTCTTCTGTAAATATTTAGTATGCATTTAAACATTCTAATATATAATCACAATACCATTATCACATTAAAAAAAAAATTAGCTCCTAATATTATCTAAACTCCAGTCATTGTTCAGATTTCCGCAGTGACCTTATTTTTATTTATTTATTTATTTATTTATTTTGAGACTGAGTCTCACTCTGTTGCCTAGGCTGGAGTGCAGTGGCACAACTTCGGCTCACTGCAACCTCTGCCTCCCCAGTTCAAGCGATTCTTCTGCCTCAGCCTCCCGAGTAGCTGGGATTACAGGCGCCTACCACTATGCCTGGCTAATTTTTGTATTTTTAGTAGAGACAGAGTTTCACCATATTGGCCAGGCTGGTCTCGAACTCCTAACCTCAGGTGATCTGCGCACCTCGCCCTCCCAAAGTGCTGGGATTACAGGTGTGAGCCACTGCGCCCGGTCTGCAGTTTCCTTGTAAGTGGAGGTGGTAGTGTTCTTGTTGGTTTGGGTTAGTTTTATAGTTACTTTCTTCAAGTCAGAATCCAAATGAGGTCTAGATGTTGTCACCGGTTTTTAGATCACTCAAGTCTCTGTTAATTTATAGATGCCCCCTCCGTCTTTCTTTCACTTGCGTTTGTAATGGAACATGTTAGCTCACTTATCCCATGGTTTCTGCATTTCACCAACCCTGTATGGGCACGTGTTCGAACGTGTTTCTCTTTCTCGTTTATTTCTTGTGAATTGGTCATTAGACCTAGAGAGTGATCAAATTCAGTTTTCCTTTCTGTTTAAGAGTGCTTCACTTGTGTTGCTGTTGATTTCTGTTAAGAAGGCTTAGAGTAGTAGCTGGTTGTCACTCTTGTGATTCCAACAGTAGTTCTGACCTTGATTTTTTTTTTTTTTTGAGACAGAGTCTCGCTCTGTCACCGAGGCTGGAGTGCAGTGGCACTGGCACTATCTTGGCTCACTGCAAAACCTCTGCCTCCCGGGTTCAAGTGATTCTTTTGCCTCAGCCTCCTGAGTAGCTGGGACTACAGGAGTGCACTGCCACGCCTGGCTGATTTTTGTGTTTTTAGTAGAGACGGGATTTCACCATGTTGGCCAGGCTGGTCTCAAACTCCTGACCGGAAGTGATCCACCTGCCTTGGCCTCCCAAAGTGCTGGGATTACAGGTGTGAGCCACTGCGCCCGGCTCTGATCCTGATTTTTTAAAAAATATTTCATCTCAGTGATTCTAGCTATGAGGTCAGATAATACTTATTTTCTAACCAGGCTATTTTAGTTTTGTTGCTGTAAAATACATGTTTCATTGTGAACATTTGTACTTCTTTAGTTGCGAGAGCAAGCTGGCTTTATGCCCCAAACCCTTCTTCATGAAACGTATTACTATCTCTGTTCTGATCCTAACATCTGCTGCTGTTTTACCCTGATTTTGTTAACCTGGTTCACCAATTCTATTTCCCTAATGTTGTTTAGGGAGGGTTGCAGATGAGATCAAGATGGTACTGAGAATCAGACACACCCAAATCCTGCGCCTCACCCCCAGCACCCCTCATGGAAATAATGTGCACATCTCAAGCAGGAGTCAGATGTAGCAGCCATGGCCTTCAGCTGGGAGAGAGAGCTGTGATGAGTTAGGGAAGGAGCTCGCACCAGGCCGAGGTTGGCTTTTGTAGTTTGGAGAAAGGATCCAAAGGAAGTTGCAGGCAGGAGTGGGGGCTGCTGCCCCAGGCCTGTCTGGGGCCTAAGCAGGGGTGGGCATTGGGTGGACCAGTATGAGGGGAGAGAGCTTCTCCCCTAGAGAAGTCAGGGGAACCCTGCTATCCCTGGCCACACCAGCAGCCTCCTCCCTGGGCAGCCGAGAGGAGCCCGGCTCCCCCTAGAGGGAATCGTCATCATTACTAAAAGGAAAACAATTGTATGTCCCTCCATGTCTTTTGGTGCGATGGGTTCCAGAACCACCACTCCGCTCCCCGCTGCAGCCACCAAAATCCTCAGATGCTCTAGTCCCTGCTATAAAATGATGTAGTCAGTGCATGTAACCTCTGCATATTCTCCCACACACTTCACATCTTCTCTAGATTACTTCAGTAACTAGTATGATGCAAATGCATTGTGAATAGTAGTTACACTGTATTGTTTTTTAATTTGTAGTAGTATTATTTTTTAAATTGGATTTTTAGTTTTGATCTGCTGCTGGTTGAATCCACAGATGCAGAACCCACAAATGCTGAACTCGCAGATACGGAGCGCCAACTGTGTACCGTTTCTTCAGTAACAGACACTTCCCAACTCTAGTCATTGGTTTCATGAAATTGCTTTCCTCAGTTACTCAGAATTTGGTGTTCCTGATGTGCGTTTGTTGCTTTTGCTCCTTTGCAGAGAGATCATAGATAACACCACCAAGGAGAATGGGATCGACATCATTATGGCCGATAGGACTTTCCACCTGATTGCAGAGTCCCCAGAAGATGCCAGGTGAGTCTGCACTGTTGACGTCATATTATCCACATCCTGCTCCCTCATGCACAGGTGTGAGTGTCCCACAGAGCACTGTTTACCATGCTGGCCTTGACAATTTTAATTGACTTTCTATTAGGATGGTTGAGGAACCAAGAGTCAAAAGAAATTGATGTGTACTTGTCCCTTGGGGACTCTTTCTCTGGGCAAATGTATTCAAGTACAGCCGAGGGTTTCCAGCCTCCAGTGCCACTAGACCCATTGTCATCTGTCTCAGGCTGTTACTGTCACCGGCAGCGTGTGTAAATTACACAGCTGCATGTAGCTGAAAGCCCACCCTCTGGAAGCTTCTGAGCTTTGAAAGTGAATTGTTTGTGTTTGCATAAGGACCAAAAGGGCAGGGAGTAGTAACTGGTAGCTGTTTTAATAACTGATAGTGCTATGGCATTGGGGGGTTTTAAAGATGTTAATATTGAAGAATTCAGTGGAAGAGTAACTTACACAGAACTTACTATTAGCTGGGTGCAAAAGTAATCACAATTATATTTCAGGCTAATATTCTAAATGTTTCATACCTAAATATTTCAGGCAGTATTCTAAATGTTTTATAAATACTAACTCTTTTGATTCTCTTGAATCCTGCAAGGTAGACATTAATTATTACCATCATCCATATTTTGCAGAATAGGAGACTGGGGTACAGAGAACGGTTAGTATCATTTGTAATGCAGTGCAACCTCAATTCTGTTGAACGGGGACATTGAACTTCTTAAAAACATTTCCTCCTAAGGAGCTTTAACTTTTGACTGAGATTAGAAGAGGGTGGAAGCCTTCATTGGCTGGGGCAAGTTGTCTGTAACTTCCTGGATCAGGTTTCCATGCTGGAGTGCTGAGGAGACACAGCACAAAATTAAGGAGACTTAGCATTTGCTCTTCAGCGTGATGCATCACAGGTCCCCTAGTGGATCAGACACCATGGAGCGTCGGTTCTGTCTCTTCCTGCAACTTTGTGAGTCTGCAGGGTTATGTTGGAGGTGTCTGTCTTCAGCTCTGAGCAATGCTAGAGAACGTTTTTTTTTTTTTGAGACGGAGTTTCTCTCTTGTTGCCCAGGCCGGAATGCAATGGTGCGATTTCAGCTCACCGCAGTCTCCACCTTCTGGGTTCAAACAATTCTGCCTTAGCCTCCCGAGTAGCTGGGATTACAGGCATGTGCCACCACGCCCGGCTAATTTTGTATTTTTAGTAGAGACAGGGTTTCTCCATGTTGGTCAGGCTGGTCTCGAACTCCTGACCTCAAGTGATCCACCCATCTTGGCCTCCCAAAATGCTGGAATTACAGGCGTGAGCCACCACGCCTGGCTGAGAACGTCTTTTAATTTATGAGGGTAACATCCAATAGCCGAATTCTTCAATTCTCAGCCCCAAGATTGTTAGGACCTTCTAATGTGTTCTCAGGACCCCTCACTACCCCTTGCCCTTTGAATCTTTCTGAGTTGATACAATACCATGGTAGCGACATTAAGAGTAAAGACACCAGAAAATAATTCTTCCCATGGGAACAAACTAAAACCCTGCTTAGACCCATAAATTCTAACACAAACTGGAAAAACAAGCAAACCTGGAATTACAGCCCATCATTCCGTCTGGGGCTCCTAGAGACCACATGTGGTTGTTTGTGGCCCAGGGAATGCCTGCAGCTTTTCAGCTGAATTATAGGCCTGGCGTTTGGCAGCTGCGCTGTCTGTTTTATGCCATGATGAACCTGCTAAATTTAACCTTTGGGATATTTTAGCCAAGGACTTTTTCTCCTGACCAGTGGAACACTTTTTTAAAAAATTCCTTTTCAGATTCCAAGTTATACTTGAATCAAGAGAAGAAATTTATAAATTTAAGAGTATAATCTAGACAGAATCGAAAGTACAACAAATTTTATGCCTTTGTGTGTGTGATTCCTACAACTTGAATGTATGTCTTTTTCAGTGTTTAATTTGGGATATTTTTGAGATGAGCAAAGCAATGAAGTCTTGCTGTTTGGTTAACCAGAATGGATAGTGCAAATTTATATTCAAGTGTTGTCCCTTGTTGTATACAAGCTATATATGCATATCTGTTGTATATTTTTCAAGCTTGTAGTCACATTTTTCTCCCTTAGGAAGCACAGGAGATAGATTTTAGTGCTTTGCTGTAAATAATTTGCATGGCCTACCTTTACATATGGGTGTCATTTTTTCACTTAAACATCCCATTGGATACCAACTACTTTCCCCTCTGCCTTGAATGGTAGGAGTGTGTATGTATTTTGTGTCTTATACGCCCCGAACAGGAGAAGAATACCCTAGCATTTCTTTCATACTTGATAGCTCTGATATTTCGTAGTTGGTCAGCAAATGCTGGATGGATGCCTGTTTGTTCATGGTCATTTTCATGATGCCTTGTTCTGCTTGATTTTTCTTGTTTCGTTTTGTTTCATTTTGTCTTTTTTTTTTTTGTGAGACAGAGTCTTGCTCTGTCACCCAGGCTGGAGTGCAGTGGAACGATCATGGCTCACTGCAGCCTTGGCCTTCTGGGCTCAGGTGATACTCCTGCCTCAGCCTCCCAAGTAGTTGGGACTACAAGCATGTACCACTACACCCAGCTAGTTTTTTATTTTTTGTAGAGACTGGGCCTCAGTAACTTTCCCAGGCTGGTCTCAAATTCCGGGGCTTAAGCCATCCTCCCACCTTGGCCTCCCAAAATGCTGGAATCACAAGCGTGAGCCACCATGCCCAGACCACGTTTTCCTTTATTTTCTGATTGTGATGAGGCTGGGTGTGAGAGTACTCATTTGAAATGAAGATGGAAGAGTTCTCTGGTCAAAATAGTTTTCTGCTTTAAGCAGTTATTTTTCATTTCCAACTCTCCTGTGGTTTTATTGACTTGAGTAGAAATGCTGTTAGGTGGTTGAAAACCCCATCCTGAGAATACATAGAAAAAATAGACATCTTGACCAGGCACAATGGCTCATGCCTGTAATCCCAGCACTTTGGGAGGCTGAGGTGGGTGGATCACCTGAGGTCAGGAGTTCAAGACCAGCCTGGCCAACATGGTGAAACCCCATCTCTACTAAAAATACCAAAAATTAGCTGGGCATGGTGGCGTGTGCCTGTAATCCCAGCTACTTGGGAGGCTGAGGCAGGAGAATCACTTGAACCCGGGAGGCAGAGGTTGCGGTGGCCAAGATCGTGCCATTGTACTCCAGCTTGGGCAATAAGAAACTCCATCTCAAAAAAAAACAACAAATAGACATCTAAATAGACATCTAGTGTCCATCCCAATATGATACTCTTCCATTACATGTTGAGTATCCCTTACCCAAAATGCTTGGGACTGGAAGTGTTGCAGTTTTTGGAGTTTGGAATATTTGCATTAGACTTACCGGTTAAGCATCCCTAATCTGAAAATTTAGAATGTTCCAGTGAGCATTTCCTTTGAGCATCATGTCGGTGCTCAAAAAGTTTTGAATTTTGAAGCATTTCAGATTTCAGATTTTTTTGGATTGTGGATGCTAAACCTGTATTGATCTTCTCACCTTGAAATTTATTTATTTATTTTTATATATATTTTTGGAGGCGGAGTCTCACTCTGTCGTCCAGGCTGGAGTGCAGTGGCACGATCCCAGCTCACTGCAAGCTCTGCCTCCTGGGTTCATGCCATTCTCCTGCCTCAGCCTCCCGAGTAGCTGGGACTACAGGCGCCCGCCACCAAGCCCGGCTAGTTTGTTTGTATTTTTAGTAGAGACGGGGTTTTACCATGTTAGCCAGGATGGTCTTGATCTCCTAACCTCATGATCCGCCCACCTTGGCCTCCCAAAGTGCTGGGATTACAGGCATGAGCTACCGCGCCCAGCCGAAATTTATTTTTTAAACAGAAAAAGCACCTGAATGTTCCCTAGTTTATAAATAATATCTTAAGTAAGGATCTTTGATATAAGTATTTTGGGTAGAACTGAGGATTTTATTATTTGCTGTTAATTTCTCAAGGAACTCATTCATCATTGTCAAATGTCTATAAAGGTCTATGGGACCTGGAGAAAAGGCCATCCATTGATCTAAAGTTAGAACATAATAGAGCACTTAAAGGCATTTACAGGTACTTTATCTGCTTCTTCTTACTTTATTCTTTGGTAATGAAACCGACATTTATCCCTAAGAAGTAATCAAATTAAAAGCAAAGGTGCTTAGAGATGTTATTTTCACAGATTACATGCAGTAGAGCACTATTGCTTTACCAATACGAGGTTGGCCTCTCCTTCACAGTTGTTCTCTCTTCCCCACAGCCAGTGGTTCAGCGTGCTGAGTCAGGTCCATGCGTCCACAGACCAGGAGATCCAGGAGATGCATGATGAGCAGGCAAACCCACAGAATGCTGTGGTATGGGAGCACTACCTAGGATGGGGGTGGGGCGTCTGGGGGCAGGGATGGGGAGGGCGTCAGGATGGTAAAAAAGGGAAAGATTGGGAATTTCCAGACAGTCTTTTTTAAAAAGGTAAATGTAGAATAATTAAGGAGAAAAACAGGACACCATTTGAGTTTAAAATCAATACAATAATAAATACAATAAATAGTACAATATAATAATACAATAATAAATACAGTAAACTAAGTTGGACACTGTGGCTCATGCCTGTAGTCCCAGCACTTTGGGGTGGGAGTATCACTTGAGGCCAGGAGTTCAAGACCAACCTGAGAAACATAGCAAGACACTGCCTCTATGAAAAAAATTAACAATTATCCAGGCGTGGTGTTATGTGCCTGTAGTCCCAGCTGCTTGGCAGGCTGAGGCAGGAGGATTGCTTGAGCCTGAGAATTTGAGGCTACGATTGCACCACTGAGCTCCAGCAGCCTGACCCTCTCTCCTAAAAAAACAAACAACAAAACCAAATAAATTGTAGAAGGTTATAAGTAGTAATACCTTCCAATTCTTCCGCCTCAAACCCAAAAGAACAAAAGAATCCTACTTTTTATGAAGTCACGGAAACACACATTAAACTTACTCTTCAGAGGATGGTGAAATCTAAATCTAGATTGTATTCTTTTTTTTTGAGATGGAGTCTTACTCTGTCGCCCAGGCTGGAGTGCAGTGGCGAGATCTCAGCTCACTGCACCCTCTACCTCTAGGTTCAAGCTGGGACTACAGGCGTGTGCCGCCACACCCGGCTAATTTTTTGTATTTTAGTAGAGACGGGGTTTCACCATGTTGCCCAAGCTGGTCTTGAACTCCTTAGCTCAGGCAATCCGCATGCCTCAGTCTCCCAAAGTGCAGGGATTACAGGCGTGAGCCACTGCGCTGGGACGAAATCTAAATTGTATTCTTTGTCTTCCCTCTATCCCAGACACATACACAAAGTTACAAAACCCTACTTTGGAAATCACGTTTTATTTCCTCATCAGAAAAACTTGAAAGTTTCTTGGGAGAAGTATAAAATTTAATCGAAGGACACAATAAAATCAGGAAATGTGTACTATTGAAAGAAGGTTATAAACACTGTTCACTGAGCTTGTTTTAAGAATGGGGGGCTGGGGGAGGGAGCTCAGACCTGTAATCCCAGTACTTTGGGAGGCCAAGGCAGGTGGATCACTTGAGGGCGCCAGGAGTTTGAGACCAGCCTGGCCAAACCCCATCTCTACTAAAACACAAAATTATCCAGGTGTGGTGGCCCACACTTGTAGTCCTAGCTACTTGGGAGGCTGAGGCACGAGAATCACTTGAACCTGGGAGGCAGAGGTTGTGGTGAGCCGAGAGCACACCATCGCGCTCCAGCCTGGGCAACAGAGTGAAACTCTGTTTCAGAAACAAACAAAGTAAATTAAATTAATGTAGAGGTACTTGTTAGAAAGTTTAGTAAAATACTAATTTTTTAAAAACATAGAAATAAATTATTGAAAGGACAAGAGGGAATGATTAACTCGTAATTTTAAAAAATAAATGGGCTATAGATTCTGCCCTGTGTGGAGGCTATTTGTACTCACACAACAGAGGAGTCATCTCATAGATGACTATTATTTTGAAGTTAAAAAGAAAAGAGCCTTTTCTGTCTGATTGGGAGTGGGCTAGAGGTGTTACTATAGTGTGCACCCTACTTTAGTGGTTCTCTCATTCTCTTTACTTTTTGTTCTTTTCCAGGGCACCTTGGATGTGGGGCTGATTGATTCCGTGTGTGCCTCTGACAGCCCTGATAGGTAAGCTCAGATGTGGCTCTTAATAAAAACAGCTCATCACCTGTGTGTGTCCACAGGTGTCTGTGCTGCTAGGTTACGTCCCTCTTTGCAGGGCTGTGAAATCACACGAGGCTGTGTGTTCCCACCTTGTCAACCCCAGCAATCCGAAGTCTGCCTTCTTGGTACCCAATTTTACATCATCTGGAAGTCTCCTTCTCTGCGTATCTTTGAAGTCCTGGGGAAAACCCTGGGAACCTAATTTAGACAATTTTAAAAAGCATGAGGAATAAATATTTTTCATGTGTATACAGGGACAAACTTGGGATTTATACGGGAAGAAAATACCTGTTTAGGAAAATGATATTCCAGCAAAGGGGAAGGGAGTCATTCTCCTTTCTGAACTTAACAATGAACCTGGAAAGAATTTTGATGATAATGTATATGTAGAGTATTAATAAACCACAAACATTTATTTTCCTTGGCACCCTTTTTGGGTTCGATTTTTGAAGGCAAATCATCTTTGGAGATGATCTGAGGCGTCTTTCTGCCCAGTGAACTTTATTGTCTGTTTTTCTGTATTATCTTGTAAGTTCTAGTTCTGTTTCACCATGTTGCCCAGGCTGGTCTCGAACTCCTTAGCTCAGGCAATCCGCATGCCTCAGTCTCCCAAAGTGTTGGGATTACAGGCGTGAGCCACTGCGCTGGGCCGAAATCTAAATTGTATTCTTTGTCTTCCCTCTATCCCAGACACATACACAAAGTTACAAAACCCTACTTTGGAAATCACGTTTTATTTCGTCATCAGAAAAACTTGAAATAAAGTTTCTTGGGAGAAGAAGTGTAAAATTTAATCAATGGACACAATAAAATCAGGACACAACAAAATAAAAACAAATTCTGCAGCAGAATTTAAGAAAAGTTTCTCTAGGACAGACCAGGAAAGAATCAAAATTGTCTTCTGCCCTCAGTAAGACAGCCGGAAAATGAAATACGAGTGTGTTAAAATTGACAACAAAATATAGGGCCTACTTGGCAGAATTAGAGCCGTGGGGTCTCTGTCACTCTCCCATTGACAAAGGCCCTTCTGAACCATGGATCCTTTGTTTTTAGTAGTCAGCCTGCACCCCTTATACCTGGCTCAATCTTTAACATGTATGTGTCATATCAGTAATCAAAGCCCTGATGCTGCTTATTCTGGTATGTGAGTTTCTACCTCACCTTCTCCACGTCTTCGCTCTCCCAAGCCCTTCACTCCTCCAGGCTGGGCCTGTGATGATCCATCCTTAGAATTTTGCATCCTCGTTCAGGCTTTTCTGTCGTCCTCAGCTGGCCACTTTTCTCCCTTTCCAACTATAGAAAAAAAAAAAGGGTTGGGTTTTTTATTTTTATTTTTAAGGGGCACCTCAAGTTCAGCCTGTTTGCATAGTTTTCCCTGTGTCCTGCAGTTCAGTTACTCTTTTTCTTAAACTTTTGTGTCACTTAACTACAGTGAACATTTGAAGACTTGCAAGAAAGAGTTCACATTCGCTAGCGTAAGCCATTAGATGGAGGAGTTAGTATTTATATCAGCAAGGGCCTATGAGAGAGGTTCAGGGCATTTCCAGACAAAAAGAGGCAAGGGAGAAAGTAAATTTCCATGATCACGTTATCCATGACTAGGAAATGCACCCTTGTTAGATCCCTTTGAAAACACAAACCCAGGTGGCTTTTTGTACAAAGCGTAATCAAGCATTTAAGATGTTCCACCTACACCTATTTACTGATCCTCTTTTATTGCTGGTGTCTGACATTTCATTACCAACCCAGAGAAATATTACCCAAGGCAGGAAAAAATTGACTTTGGAGAGGCATCAAAAAAAAATTTTCCCTCGTGGTCACCTTATTTAGCCTTCCCGGAACTGAGTTTCATCTGGAAAGTTTTGCATGAAGAAATGTTTTCCCTTCCAGGACCTTCAGAATGAATGTGTCGTTCCAAGTTTAAAGGTTAATGATGCGTAAAAGAAATTGCGCAGAAATGAGCAAGGTTTGCCTTAATAAAAACATGAATAAGCCTAGCAGTGCATGTCCCGTGACCCAGAAGGCAGGAAGAAGGCCCTGAGTCTCGGTTCACACAGAGGTGATGCTGACGGTAGACCTAAGGGGCTTTGTTTCCTTCTCACCTTGTCGCTCAGACCCAACTCGTTTGTCATCATCACGGCCAACCGGGTGCTGCACTGCAACGCCGACACGCCGGAGGAGATGCACCACTGGATAACCCTGCTGCAGAGGTCCAAAGGGGACACCAGAGTGGAGGGCCAGGAATTCATCGTGAGAGGTGACTGCCTGCCCTGCTTCCTTGGTCTGTTTAACAGGCTCCCCTTTCCATTTGCATGTAGATATCTGCAGCATTTTCATTTTGAGCTGCTTTTCCCATTTTAACTGTTGGAGATTTTTTAAGTGATTTTTAATTTGTGACATGATAAATTGTTTCTAGAGGATTGTGTTTTTTGTTGCTAGTTGTGATTTTGTGCTTTTCTTTCACGTAGTTCGTTTACATCGAGTTGGGGTGACCGTGGTCTTTTTCTGACAAGTAGCTAGAAACCCCATCCGTGTGTTGGCATTATGTGGATGATGGTATGGTCTTTGGGGTTTCTCCTCATAGATTTTAATTTATACTTTCATCTTTTTTTCCAGGATGGTTGCACAAAGAGGTGAAGAACAGTCCAAAGATGTCTTCACTGAAACTGAAGAAACGGTGGTTTGTACTCACCCACAATTCCCTGGATTACTACAAGAGCTCAGAGAAGAATGCGCTGAAACTGGGGACCCTGGTCCTCAACAGCCTCTGCTCTGTCGTCCCCCCAGATGAGAAGATATTCAAAGAGACAGGTAACCAGGCTGGCTGCCCGAACCCTGAGCATCAGATCTTAAAGTCTGGGCTTGCTCCAGGCAAGGAATAAGATTCCTTCCTAGTGGGTACTTTATTTCCCCCCAAGGCGGCGTCTTCTTGGTTTATCTTCTAAGCCTGTCTGGGGTTAGCTATGTGACCACTTAGTGTTTAAGCCGTACGAGAGGTCTTGATTCATGGAGTGGTAGCAAGACTCTGGCAAGGACAAGAAAATGTCAACAGATGCAGGGCATCGTACAGGAAGCTTTGTTTTCATATACTCTGTTTTCATCCTTTTATTTTTAATTTTTGTTCTTATTATTTTTGAGATAGGGTCTCACACTGTTGCCCAGGCTGTAGTGCAATGGTGCTATTATGGTTCACTACAGCCTTCCAAGGCTGAAGCAATCCTCCCACCTCAGCCTCCCGAGTAGCTAGGACTCCAGGCATGCACCATCGCACCGGGCTAATTTTATACTTTGTGGTGGAGGTTTTGCCATGTGGGCCAGGCTGTTTTCTATCATTGTATGATGAGCGTCCTATACAACCTGTAAAAGATAAACCCTGACTGTCCATGAACTTAGCCTAGTAGCATAGAAAGCACACATGTAAATTAGAGGATTTCTTTTCATTTTTGTAGTATTATAAAAGTGTTTCCAGAAGATGGTTTATTTTGATGTTGCTGGTTGTGATCTTGTGTTTCTGTTTAACATAGTTGTTCCATTCGCGTCAGGTTTGGGTGATGGTTCGGACAGTTTGCCTCTGAAGTCACACACTGCCAGGCACAAGTGCTGTCTTCTGAAGGGAGAGGCTAAGGAAAGGAAAGGAAGAAATAGGAAGTAAGAAGGAAAGTCAGAAATCGGAGAGAGTTTTCACTCCTGATCCAGAGCCCAGAAAGAGACATTAACTTACCCTTTTCCCTTCCAGAGCCAGTTATCATTTATCTTCATATATTTCATGATGGGTTTATTGTTCTAATATTCATCTCCCCGTCTCAGCTGTAAATGTCACAGTGCAAGAGACACTGTTTTTTCTTCATCACTAGATACCTAGTGCAGGGCAGGACACATGTAGGAATTCAGCCAGTGTCTATTGAATTGAATAATTAAAGGGACTGAGATCAGAGAGGACACAGGCATTGCCCCGGTCCCCGAGGTTGGCGTTGACATGCGTGTGCGGGGCACCCCTGCCATTGCAGGCTACTGGAACGTCACCGTGTACGGGCGCAAGCACTGTTACCGGCTCTACACCAAGCTGCTCAATGAGGCCACCCGGTGGTCCAGTGCCATTCAAAACGTGACCGACACCAAGGCCCCGATCGACACCCCCACCCAGCAGCTGATTCAAGACATCAAGGTAAGACAAGCCCATCAAGGTGGGTGATTATAGCTCAGAGCTTCTACCCTTAGAGCACTAAGACCTCAGCATTAGTGAAGCTCAGTTTTCATTCTGTAATCAAAACCTAGTGCTTGGTTGGCCGGCACGGTGGCTCACGCCTGTAATTCCAGCACTTTGGAAGGCTGAGGCAGGTAGATCACTTGAGGTCAAGAGTTCGAGACCAACCTGGCTAACATGGTGAAACTGTGTCTCTACTAAAAATACAAAAATTAGCCAGGTGTTAGTGACACATTCCTGTAATCCCAGCTACACAGGAGGCTGAGCCAGGAGACTTGCTTGAACCTTGGAGACAGAGGTTGCAGTGAGCAGAGATCATTCCACTCTACCCCAGCCTGGGCGACAGAGGGAGACTCCGTCTCAAAAAAACAAAACAAAAAACTAGCGCTTGGTTAAATTTATGTTTGAGTACCCTGCTTTCAGGAATCTAAATGAGAAATTTTAGACCAAAAGTGTTTTGTCTCTAGGGCAGTGTTAGATGTTTCCTAACACTTCCCTAGTTGATTCACCTGATCCCACCTGCTGGGCTCTGTGGCCAGAAGGACAAGGTCTGCAGCTTGCACTGTGGGACTCCGTGCCCATGGGGATGTGGTGACCTGCATGGGGGACCACGTGCCTTGTGTCAGGTTTCACCTCAGCCTCAGTTGGGGACCTTCTAGGAGTAACCCGCTAGTTCCACTGTCACTGTACAGTTTCCAGACCACACGAGTGAGTTCCCAAGGAGCCCTGGGTGGTCTAGAAGAACACCTGGCATCCCTCTCGGACACGTGCAAACTCCCAGAAGCTCCTGAGTCTCTATACGAACACTGAGCGTGTTACATTATAAATTCCTGTTTATAAGTAAGTGTAGTGGCTCAGTAAATGTATGTGAGGTGAAGGAACGAATGGTTGCATGGCAGCCCTGAGCGGGGATTCTCACCCTCACTTTCCGGAAATGGAACGCTGCCGGGGAATGTTCTGGTTGCATTGCCCACGTAGCTGGTCAGTCCCAGGTGCAGAACCAAGTCGAGGGAGACTGCTGGCAGATTCCCAGGACAAAGGACAGAGGTGGGGCTGTGACAGAGAAGGTGCTAGAATGATGGTGAGGCAGGTATTTTACTGAGGGACAGCAAAGGAAATTAGCTAACCAGATCCAAGAGGGAACTCAGCTTTTGTGGAGGTGGGAGAGGATCTAATCCATCAGTGGTGGATAATTTTCCATCCAAATCAAATTGGCCTCCTGATTCCAAAGTGTTATGTTCTCTGGGTGTTCGGAACCACATTCTGGCAAGCCAGTTGTTTTTTGTTTGTCCATGAAATTGTTTGAATCAATTTGAATTTAGACATTAAAAGAATAAATACAATTTTTCAAATACAAAGCTATGCTTCTTAAGAAATGAGTCAGGTTACCCTAAATCAGTCCATAGAAATGATTTAAGTAATTAAAAAAATTTTTTGTGCCCTTCAATTGAGTATTAGTGAAAAAGTTTTATAGTGGAAATGAAATTACCACGATAGAATGATTCATTACCTCTCCTCCAACTTTTCTGTTTATTTAAGGTTCTAAAAGTAACTTTGTTTTTTTCATATCCCAGATGAACATTTTAGGAGCACAAGTACATGATGATGAAATTCCGTGAGAGACTTTCTTACGTTTCAAGGGTGGAAGGGCGGGCAGGCATGTGGAAGGACAGTCTCCCCAGGAATATATTAATGTGTGTAGTTTTCAGGTATAGAGAGAATAGAAAACAGCAATTCAAGAACTAGCAAAATGTGCTTATGAAATGAACTATAGATAAAAATAACATGATTTAGCTACTGATGGCTAAAGCAATGAAAGAAGATCAATTTTTTTATTTTGCTTTTCTGTTTTTTATAGAGACAGGGCCTCATTATGTTGCCCAGGCTGGTCTCGAACTCCTGGGCCCAACTTATCCTCCTGCTTTAGGCTCTCAAAATGCACAGGCATGAGCCACTGTGCCCAGCCTAGATTTAATTTTTTTTTTTTTTGAGATGGAGTCTCGCTCTGTCAGCCAGGCTGGAGTGCCGTGGCGCAATCTTGGCTCACTGCAAGCTCCGCCTCCCGGGTTCAAGCAATTATCCTGCCTCC